CGCCAAATGCAGTGCGTGCACTGCTGTGCTCCAGACTGAAAGGTACAGAGAGCCAGTGCAATTACACCCTGTGAACCGTTCCATGTTAGTACTCAGAAGTGACCTTGCTTCTGTAGCTTTCTTTTAAGGTGATACCTGGAAAATTTGATGGTTATTCTATTTCACTTATTATTTTTTAAGTTTTTTAGATTATGAACCCAATTTATGGTATATGATTTTTGACTATATGACCTTAGATTTCATAAAAGGAAAACGAGATAACATATAATTTTGTCTATAGGAAAAAAAATTGCTAAGTATGCTCTAATTAGTTACATTTCTCCATGACACCACAATATTTTGACGAATAAGTTCATGAAACTATTTTTAAGGCATAGTAAATATAAAAAAATATAAAGTAAGTTCGCATAAACCATTTTTTTAATCCATAACAAAGTTTTGTTAAAAAACTGTGTGTTTGGCGCTTACTTAGTTTTTTTTCGAGTGCGTGCTCGGTGTAGCCATCTCATAATTTGCGTACTATGAAGTCATTGGGGCGTTTTTTTTTTTTTAATTAGAATAAACTAATGCTATTAAAAATGAAAGTTTTTAATATGAATACTTTACAAAATATATTTAAATTGGAAGCATCACTTTCATTTTGACACTCCCTCAGTCGTCCGTTAGCTTCGCCGACAAAGGGATAAGCCACGCCCCCAAAACAACGATTCATTTTCAAGGTATCCTCTTAAAGTTTGTTGCAGTAGCCACTTGTTGTGTTTTACGATTTATGTATTTTTTTAAATCAGCTACTGTTTCAATTCAGACTTTTTTTTAAATTTTATTCATATAAAATACACAGATTTAAATCCGCGTACGACCTGTCTGTGGAATAGTTTACCACCGGCGATTTTTCCGGACCGATACGACCTGGGGACCTTCAAGAAAAGAGCTTACTCCTTTCTAAAGGGCCGGCAACGCACCTGCAATTCCCCTGGTGTTGCGGTTGATCATGGGCGGCGGTAGTCGCTTAACATCAGGTGAGCCGCATGCTCGTTTGCCCCCTCTTCTATAAAAAAAAAGAGTATAGACCACGTCCATTTAGTACAACTAGGTGTCATGGTATTAATTATGTCATTTTTAGCGTGACACAAAATCATTCCAAAAACGGAGACATATTGAATTCAAATACTTAACTATAATGCCCTAGAGTTTATTTTACATTTATATTTCTACTTATCATTCATATTTAAAAAAAAAACGTTTGATTAGTGACGCCAAATGTATTAGGTATATATAGATGTTTTCGGAAACTAATGTGAGATATTTCCTTGACCTGTTTGAAAGTGTGTTATTATGTTGTTGTGGTACAAAAAAACAGTTTAAAATTATTTTACACAAGTGGTTTTCTTACGTATTTTAAAGTCAATAGAAATTAATTATAAATTTAACGCCTTTTTAAGGCGTTTTTATTTAGGCTATAAGTTTCTCAAAATTATTAGTTTTTGTTTATGAATATTAAATCTTAAAAAGAAATGTATTTTACGTCTTTTCAATTAATTTCGCTGCAATAAATCACGTTATATATTATGTCGTTTATGATATCCGTTATATACTAGTATTATCCAAGGTTTCAAGGCTTTAGGTAATTTGACTTAGATTCGATGCTTATAAATTAATAACTTACTGAATTTTTTTAGTCATATGGTCAATGTCGCTTAATTTAGGAAAGATTTTATCAGGCACATTTAACAGTCAAATTATTGATCTCTTGTATATGATACGTCGTATCATAAACTATACTGAATTTACTAGATCTAAAAAAACTAGTGGTCATTCTACCTCTTAACAAATGCGATGAGTTTCTTAAAGAATTTCCCTTCGTTCTTTACAAAAAGCATGTTAAATAAACCTTTTTAGTAAAGGTTTTTACAATATAATGTACAAAAAAAAACATATTTTGTATTAAAATTGTCTCAAAACTTCTTGTGTAAAGCAAATTCTTAGGGGACCCGCGTGTGTGAAATGATAACTGACGACGAACCGGCCGGCGTGTTATTTCGTAATCCATGGAAGTAACATTGTATGTTCTTATTTCATATTTGTTAATATAAATTTGTATATATAAGTTTAACTAATTAATTGATATATTTAATCTGTATAAAATTTCATTCGTATTGTTTTGTATATAAATAATCAAAATTTAAACAGACTTTTAGATAGATCGGATGGTAATACTTAAAAAAAGTTAAGATAGTGAAGCTAGTCTAGGATTTTGATCATATTGTAATTGTAAAGTAAAAAGTGATTTCAATATATTATAAAGTAAATAATTGAATATTAATAATTTTTAGGATATTGTAATTTTTACAATTATTTAAACTCTAATAGCATTCCTTTATTAAATTTAAAAGTATATGAAAGCATTTTAAGCTTAAATGTTGTTAAATTTGGCTAAATTTTGTTTTGTTTGGCTTTACGATCAGCATACTTTACAGTCTGCGAATCTCCTGTATCTTACACGGTATCAAACCTTTCCATAGTCGCTATTTTTACCCTAACTCTGGATATCTCAGGTTCAAATTTTAATCTTGAGTATTTACCCTTTTTACTGGAAGCGAAGCATTCCATCTCGGTACTCAGGGGTGATAAGGCATCTGTAGTTTTGATGCTTAATCGAGGATAAATGTAGATGTCTGTCGGCCATAGCATCCACTTACTATCAGGTGGACTGTGTGCTCGATTATCACCCTTATTCTATAAAAAAATACCGTTTCGTTTGCTATACAAAAGATGTTACTGTGATCGTAGTCGGCCAGTCAGATATTACCAACCTTTATTAACCATCTCAAATGAAATAAAAAATATTCAATGTCATATTAAATCTACACTACGAATCGTTTTACTATAGTACAAATTCATATAATTATGTATTGTTTAAAACTATACTTGTAAGATATTTCTCCAAAAATATTGTAATCGAATAAGTTTAAGAAGAATAATTGATTAATATAAAAAAACAATGTTAGGGTTTAATGATTACTTAAATTTTTATTCAATGTTAGGGTGTATCAATCGATCGATCGTCGATCGATTGGTGTGGTAGCTTTAGCTGATCGACGGATACTGGTCGATAAAATATTTAATCATCGATCGACAATTAATCAATGTGGTTGTTGTGGGCTCTGGAGCGGGGCGGGTTTTGGAATTATCAAGCAGCTTGATCGACGTCGACTAATCCATTCTACCATCGATCGACGATCGATGGATTGGTGAGGTAACATGCTCATTCTATTATATAAATCCAACTGTCCAACATACGTCCAACGTTTCCAAACACTGAAGGATAAAAACAAGATGGCGCAAGAACCACAAATGAGCTTTTAAATAAGACATTTGAATCGCCATAGAATATTCAATTTTATTTGTTAGTAGCGATCCGCACATGGTTTACATTTACATTTGGACCGAGTACCAAATGTATATGTAAACCACCTAGGGTTTTCATGAAACCACCCATTTAAATACACACAAAAATTGTCATCAAAATCGGTTGGATGGTTTCAAAGTCTATAACGGACATAGGTAGATCCATTTTTTGTGGTTTATATAGATGTGGTAAAAGCATCTACGATTGTAGTGTGTAAGTTCTTAAAGTGCAATTTGCTTGCATCTTTAGTTAATGTGTTTTAATATTTTTAATAAATTACATACAATGTTATTTCCGTGGATGTATGAATTTTTGTCGACTTGTTATTCTGATTTTTAATAATAACTATATAATAACTAGACAAATGTCGCCCACTAAGGTACGAAGTACGAACAATGTTTGTTCACACTTTACATTCAAGTTAAAAATGTTATGTAGACCTTCTATAGGTAATAAATATGTGTGTACATAATATAAATATAAATATATTGAAATAGTAATAAAAAGTGATATTACTTTATCTAATCGTCGAAATAATAAAAATTCTCGGGTTTAGAGAAGTCTTTGTCGTCAAAAAGTCTCAATAACCGCAGCGCGACAGTCTGCCCGTATTTTGAAATTTGCCGTCAAATTCCTTAACTAATATTTCATTTCGCATATTTCCGCGGGACTTCTTTTTAGATAGAGACTCCTCTTTAAACCGGAGACCACCAATGTACCATGTCTTGTGATAACTCCGAATGAGTTCACTTTATAACTACCATTCTGGACCTTGGCACTTACGCTTAGGTTATATTGTGTCATATGTTGCGTGAGAAAACAATTTATATAAATTTTCGCTAAGAATACAAATTGTAAAAAGAAAATTTAAAAAATTTAATACCCTCCAGTACAAAATGTAACTGTACTGTACCTGTGCTACAGCGCTTATTGGAATCATTTTGATTGTAATATTACAGTACTTATCTCAAAATTAGAGTTAAGTATATAATTGACATAGTGTTCGAGTGCATTCTCGTACACATCTCTTTTGAACAATATTTTATAACTTCCTCTAGAGAGTGGGCGATAACTTGTGATGTGTAATAAAAATAACTATTAATTGTACGTGTTTATTTTTTTGTAAATCTATTATTACATTAAAGTGTCCATCAAACATTTTGTATTATTTCTGACTGTATCTTTTAAGTATTTTTTATTTCTTACTCATATTGGTTTCCATAATCATTTCTTGTATTTACGTAAATACTCCACATTAAATGAAACTATGTGAAGTGGCAATAGGCCGGCCATATAGCTCGAAGAACTGACAACCGATAGGGAAAAAAGTTTCTCGAGTGGCATCCTCGAACCGGTGGGCGTAGTGTAGGGCTACCCCCCACTAGATGGTGAATGAGACGACCTGGTAAGACATGCAAGAAGGCGATGGATGCAGGTGGCTCAGGACCGTGCTTTGTGGCCTTCCCTGGGGGAGGCCTATGTTCAGCAGTGGACTTTTGAAGGGCTGTAATGATGATGATTAAATTAAACTAATTTGACGGAAGGAATTAAACGGAAAGAAGGAATTAAACGGAAGATGATTTAATACACTCTAATCCATAACCGCATCGATGTCCCTTTGCAATGACTCGCAGTCAGACGGGTCATCAGACATTTGGAGGCAGTCACGCTATTCGGTAAGTCATTAATGAAAATAAGAAAGAGCAAAGGCCCCAACGTACTTCCCTGGCTCACTCCAGATCTTGTGTAATAGTCACTAGACTCAAATGCACCCACTTTAACAAACTGACGTCGATCGCGTAAGTAATTTGAAAAAAACTTGACGAGTGCCGGGGCAAAGCCTATCACCGCCAATTTACGCAACAAGATGTCGTGGTCGACCAGTTCAAATGCTTTCTTAAAATCGAAGTACGCAGCATCCATCTGCCTACCAGCATCCAATTCAGCATATGTATAGTCAAGATTAGACACAAGATTTGTAGTTGTAGAACGGGCAGTTCGAAAACCGTGTTGACTATCATGCAATAATTTTTGAGTTTGCTTATTAATTTGCTGACGTAAGACAGTTTCAAATAAATCGGTCTAAAAGACGAAACGTCATTTTCACCATCAGTTTTTGGAACCGGAGTAACCCTAGAAACTTTCCAAATTTCTGGATACTTATACTGAGTCAGTGACAAGTTAAAGAGGTACAGGAGTGGAATCTCAAAAAGGGGATATGCAGTCCTTTGCTAAAAAAACAGGGATACCATCAGGGCCACACGTCGACCTCGGTTTTAGCCGCCTTACTGCTTCCTTCAACTTGGTATTATCAATAGTATTTATTGTGATACAGGTGGAGTCATATTAACTATCTGCGGCATGTACGGCATCATCATGGTCCAGTTCAGGAACTTTGTTCTGATATACCGAACTAAAATAGTTCGCAAAAGCGTCGGCCGCAGATTGCCCAACAACTTCGACACCACTGGAAGAATAAGCGTTCATACGCTGCCTGTGATTCTTCCTATTCTTAACGTACTCCCAGAATTTGGCCGGGTCGTCAATTATATTTTGTTGAGTCAGATGTAAGTGCTGCTTATATGCATTTTCAATCAAGTTTTTAACATGCCATCTATAGTATTTAAATAATTCCTTGTTGTACTCTTTACCTTCAGCCTTATACCGTTTCAAATGATAATATTTTTTACTTATATTACATATAATATCAGCATTAAACCATTTTGGATATACGTACTTATAATTCGGCATGTAAGGGGATTTAGATGGAACATATTGACTGATACAATTATAAAGACGGTGATAGAATAACGCAACTGCGTCGTCAACGTCTGCAATTACAAACATGTCCGACCAATCTATACTTTTTAATGCCATAACGACTTTCTGGGCCTATGCCCAGAAAGTCTGCTTTACGCCAATTCCAGCTTGGAGCAGCTCCCGGGCTCTGAGCCGGCGGTGGAGAGGATGGTGACTGGACCTGCGCATCGCACTGAAACCTAAGCGTCACCTCCAGCGGAAGGTGATACTTATCAATTGGTACTAAGGGATCTGAAACCTCGGACACTAAGACCAGCTCCGGGTTAAAATTGCTCAACACGAGATCTAACATGCCATCATATTTGTTATACACAACATTATGTTGCTGAAGCCCACAATAGTCACAAAATGAATTAAAATTATTCTTAACATTAACACTACAAGAATTCAAATTAAAATCTCCTATTATTAGGACATTAAGAGAATAATATGCAATGATAGCATTTTCAATGCACGTCAATACGTTGAGATATAGATTATCACTACATTTAGGAGGAAAATAAACGACACAACATAAAAACTTTCCAACACTTTTTCCACTAATAATGGCAAAAAGCAGTTCCATATCAGACGTATAAGCATCTACATTAGTTACTTGTTGCACCGTATAGCAGTTTCGTGCAGCAAGGAGCATTCCTCCCCACCCGGCGTCCCCTGTGCGGTCTTTACGTACGACTAAATATTCCGAAGTAAATAATTCGCCATCAAATACGGAACTGTTCAAAAAGGTTTCGGTCAAGGCTATAACATTAAAGTTGCATTGAGACACATTATTCCTAATAGTATCCGATTTAGTACGTAGACCTCTAACGTTTTGATAACAGAAATATAGGTTACGCACTTTCTTTCTTGGCACGAAAGTTCTGCCGCCACGGTTTTATACAGATGTCTTCAGCCCAATTATTTGGTGACATAACACTCTCGCTAATCCTCGACGGGATTCCAAGCTTGAACGATGAGTAACGTCCCCTTGCTTTCAGTTCTTCCACTGTGCAATCATTATTTCCACTAATAGAGTAGAGATGAGCACGCACCTCTTCTACTGTGGTACCCTCTTGAACATAATAGAGATGCAAGTACCTCCATCTCTCAGATGCACGCAGTTTTGTCACCCCCAGCGCTGCAGTACCGCGAAGCACGCCGGGCAGCGAAGCGCGTCCAGTTTTACGTCTCACCTGTATCCATTCTTCCGGGTCTTTTTGCTCCACACCATCCCGGGGAGCAACAGTTGTCTCACGGCTTACACTCAAAATCGAAGTGTTGGAATCAGAGACTAAAGTTGAAACTGGCGCTAAAGAAAAGATGGGTGTGTTTAGTTTTGCGGATGGATTAGGTTTGTCCGAAGCTCCCTTATTTTTCTCCTGAGGGCCAGATTTTACTTTCGGCTTAGTCTTCCCATTAACTAGGTTCAATGGGTGCTGTACCGCCGCTGCATATCCCTGCGTGGATGCACTATTATCTTTGTCCATTTTTAGGATTATTTTTTCTAATTTGTCAATCTTATTGGTTAAATTGCAAATTTTTCAAATACCGAAGTCTTAAATTCATTAAATTGCTCGTTGAGTAGTGCGCAAATTTTCATGGTAAGGCGCGATTCGAAGTCGTCCTGCATTTGCTTTATTAATATTTATGATTTTGGACTTTAAACAGATTTAGTAGCCGTAGCAGATTTAGTATTATTAAAAAAAAACCCAAGCCGAGTTTTAACTTATAAGGTAGAAAGATTAAGAGCAGATGCTTACTATATTTTTTTAATAGGTCTACATCCTATTCTTTAAGCAAAACTCAATGTAATATGTTAGAAGAACTAGTACCTACTTTATCACTACCAGTAAATTATAAATATATTTTTAACTTTTTTTTTAATTAAATGTAAATCTTTAGATGGATCCATAAGCTATTTTTCGTGTAATTTTAATCATTTATCATATCGCGGGGAATTCGTGCAAAGGTTTATTATAATGATATATATATATATATATATATATATATATATATATATATATATATATATATATATATATATATATATATATATACAGTGTGTCCGGTTACCGGTGTCGGAGATTTTAATGCTATAAAATATAATCAATTTCATCGACAAATCATGTCTCAAATCTCATTTAGACCTAGCTGTATTTAAATGGCAGCCATTTAAATTTTTTAGTGTCACCACCTCGACCCCGCGCATTAAAATTACAATATTCACCGATGTTGAAGTCCTACATTCTTAAAAGATATCTCATTGGATAGATAAAGATACGCGTAATAAAATAAAAGCAAACTTTTAACTGTAAAATTGTATTTAGATCCTAAAAAGACTTAGAAAAGAAAAAAAATGTAAAAAAAAATCGGTTATTTTTTTACATTTTCGACTTTAATGAAAAAAGTAAGTCATTTACCTAATGATTTTTTACATTAATCAGATAGATCAGAACATATCCTAACCAAAAAAACATAAAAATCTTAATTGTAACCAAAAAAAATAATCAGTATTATAACTGTTTGAATATGACCTTTGAAAAATTTGTCGCCCTGGTTGCAGACAGACAAAGTGAATTGATGAGAAGAGTGAAACACAACATTTCAAAATGCACGTAACTAAAAAAGTTATTTATAAAAACTGTTTGAAATGACCTCCGCGATGTTGGAGACATGTTGTAGGCCTTATTGCCACATGTTGAGTTGCACGTCTGATCATCTCCCGATCTTGTCGCAATTCATTTCCAACTTCGATTATTTTATTAATCAACTCTTCTCGTGAGTTTGGCACGTTCGCATAAACTCTTTGCTTCATAGTGCCCCATAGAAAAAAGTCTAAGGGAGTTAAATCCGGTGAACATGGAGGCCAAGCGATCCTTCCACCGCGACCAATTCACGGCGAATAGCGCTCATTTAAATAATTTCGCACATTTACTGCAAAATGTGCAGGTGCACCGTCAAGTTGGAGAATCATCCTTGCTCTGTGAGTTAATGGAAGCTCCATTAATTCTTCCAAAAACTGTGTTTGCAAAAACTCTAAAAATCTTGGGCCATTCATAGTTTCTGGTAAAATTATCGGCCCAATTAAAATATCGGCTTTTATTCCAGCCCAAACGTTCACTCGAATTTCAAGTTGGAAAGTATTTTCTCTAACAGCATGAGGGTTGTTTTGAAGCCACAGATACTCGTTACGGTGATTTGTATAACCCGATCTCGTGAAAGTGGCTCCGTCAGTCCACAAAATTCTTTTTAAAATATCTGCATCTTGTCTTGTTCTTCTATTGATCCACGAACAAAAAACTGCCCTTATAGCATAATCAGGTTCGCGAATATCTTGTACCCGCCGAAAATGGTAAGGATACAAACCTTCCCTCTTTAAAACTCTCCACACTGACCATTTTGTTAAATTAAGCATATTGCTTATTCGTCTTACACCGAGTCTGGGATCTTGTGTAATTAAAATGATGTAAGAAATCTTTCAATAGCGGGTCTTCTGATCCCAAGTTCAGCTATCCGCAAATGTATCCTTACAAATATGCGAGCATTTGGTGTAGGCCTGTTGGGAAATATTCTGGCGTACTCTGTGACAGCTCTGTTTGCGTTGCCGTTGCACAATCCATACACAAAGTGGATATCAGCGACATGCTGGTTTGAGTATTTACCATCTGCAATTTTTGAAAATATCAAAATAACTAGAAACTTCACCACAAACTTAAAAAGTTCCACAAAACGGAATTTTTTTTAACAATAACAACAACAAGCGATCTTAGAGGGGTAAAAGTAGTGTAATCACAATTCACAACGCGTGGCGAGGGACGACTGTTTTTGTTGTCCCAAGTACACTTGTTTAGAACATCAAACAATGGGCTTTGGGTTTTTCTACCTGCTCTTGAACTATCATAAATGATCCTGCACGTGCAGCTTGCTCTTTTAAGAGGTCGTGTTTGATAAAGTACAATTCTTAAACTATTTAATTTACAATTAAGATTTTTATGTTTCTGGTTAGGATATGTTCTGATCTATCTGATTAATGTAAAAAATCATTAGGTAAATGACTTACTTTTTTCATTAAAGTCGAAAATGTGAAAAAATAACCGATTTTTTTAACATTTTTTTTTTCTAAGTCTTTTTAGGATCTAAATACAATTTTGCAGTTAAAAGTTTGCTTTTATTTTATTACGCGTTTCTTTATCTATCCAATGAGACATTTTTTTAAGAATGTAGGACTTCTACATCGGTGAATATTGTAATTTTAATGCGCGGGGTCGAGGTGGTGACACTGAAAATTTAAATGGCTGCCATTTAAATACAGCTAGGTCTAAATGAGATTTGAGACATGATTTGTCGATGAAATTGATTATATTTTATAGCATTAAAAGCTCCGACACCGGTAACCGGACACATTGTATATAGATGATTAGTACATAAATTTTGAATATTATACCAAGAAATTGGTTAAATATACTCAAAGTACATAAAATGACAAAATTGCTGCACAGTCATTATGCTTGATGCATGATAACTTTGACGCACGTACAATCCGACCTATTCAATATCCATCAGCACAACATGGAAAATAGTGGGAAGGCCCGCTGCTGCGTTGCTGAATACAAAATGCATCCAGCGTGTCAAGCAAGCAATTCATAATAATTATTGACGTATGTCATACCTACTTATTGTTGTTTTACATCATGCGTTGACCTCTGTGGGACGTACAAGAAGATGGACCGTTATAGTTCGGCCCATAGAGGAAAGTAATATATGTTCGGCCGTTCAGAGAATGCGTTCCTGACACCTATCAGTTAGTCACGACTAGTGATGGGCACAACATAACACTGAGTTCGTTACCGTTCCTCAGAAATGAACCGCCGCGTTATTTTTAAAATTATTTTCATTTTAAATTGGCGGAATCATTTAAAATTTATATTTTAGTAATTTAAGTGGAAACCAAAAAAAGGTAATATTAATATAATAAAATTGTTTATTCATTATTCTTTGTTACAAAGTTACAATCTGTATTTCTATGCAATAAAGTACATTGAATTGAATGTGCGTACAGAATATTAATCAGACTCCGATTCGCTTGAGGAGGTGTTTTCTTCATCATCATCTTCGCCTACATGTATAATTATATTACTAGGTATCAATAACAGAATCAATCCTGATATCTCGGTCAAAATGTTCCACAATCAGGTTTTTAGTCTTCTCAACAACCTTTGCCCAGTCATCTCTTGTGACTTCCCCGCAGGCTTCTTTTAATAGGGTCATCATCTTTTTCGTGCTGAATGGTGGGAAAGTATTGTCGCGGGCGGCGTAACCTTTTATTTGAGCCCAGATTAGCTCAATCGCGTTATATTGGCAATGATACGGTGGAATCCTTAGAACGCGATGACCGTACTCCAGAGCCAGTTCATCGATTTCGTATCACACATTTGCCGTTTTAGCATCAGCATATTTGCGTCAATGCCTTTTGCTTGTAAACAAGCCACCATTTTTTCTTTTTTATTAGCTTCGGTAGGTGGTTTCTGTATTTGAACCGAGTGATAGGAGGCATTATCCATGAATATTACAGAAGGCTCTGGTAGGCTGGGCAAAAGCACGTTCTGGAACCACTCTTTAAATGTAGTGGCATTCATTTCCTCGTGGTAGTCATTTGTGGTTTTTGATTAAAATGCCAGTAACGTGTTCTCCACAAAGCCGTATTTTGCGGAACCTGCGTGGCATATTATCAGACGGGCCCTTACCCATTGGTACTTTCGTCGCGCTTGTGTATCATCCGTCCAAGAATGGGAAACCGTGTGATTGGCGTTTAGCCATGTCTCGTCAATGAACACAACATTATCCCAGTTATCAATATTTTTTGCTTCTTTCAAAAAACTTATCCGTTTTAAAATTATGTCGTATCGTTTTAATAAAATTTTTCTTTTGTCTGTTTTTTTATACGAAAAACCAATATCTTTTAAGATTTTGGTTAAAGCAGTTTTACCCCCCGCTAAACAGTCCAGCTTCTCTTAACGATGCCAAAAGCTTCTTTCTGTTGAGATATTCATTTCTGGAATAGTAACCATATATATCATTTCTGATTGCATCGGCGTCAAAGGTGTCAATATCTGTCACGGGTTTAGTTCTACGTTTCTTCTTCGGAGTACGTAAAATATTATCTTCCGTGCCAGTAGAGCCAAACTTTTCTTTATTAATATTTGTTATCGTTCGTTTGCTAACTCCAAGCGCCTGAGAGACGCGTTCTTGTACTTGTTCGACAGGTAACAGGGGTCCGCCATTTTGCCGCTCCCGCTCAAAGTAATCTTGCAGCTTGATGATTAACTCACGGGCTCCGCTTTTCAATGTTTGTCTACGTTTAGGCATTATTATACACCAAAATTAAAAAGAACGCAATACAAAACACAATCGAAGTCCGATTTAGCGCCGATGTCAGTTTGAAAAGCAGAAACAGTCCATTAAACCAAAGCCGGGTAATCAAATAAAAACAGATCGAAAACACTTGAAGATCGTGGTTTATGCGCACGAAACGACAACAGACGACTGTTTTAGCGTCCATTTTCAACCTAAATATAAAAATGCTACTTTCTATTGCGCGTTCGGTTTGGTCGTAGTTTTATTTTTATATTTAATAAAAGTTATCTTTTAGTCTATTATTTTCAAATTCTTAAAAAGAAAAACAAAACGTATTATTTTATAAAGTATAACTGTATAAGAACAGATTACGATACTGTTATTGCCTGTTATTGTTAGCACAGCACTACAAATATAAAGCGCTGACATAACCTTGTAATAGCGCAGTATAGATTTAGAAAAATATTGTTTACCAAGTTATTTGACACTCAGTTTGGCACAAAATTATAACATTCATTGATTATTGATATAATAATGTTGTTTAATGCTCATCAATTGTTAAAACGGTAAACAACCAGCAAAAATATTTTTATCGTAACTGCAACGCAATTACAAAGTTAGGTCGTCAGTTCAATCGCGACGTGTCAGGAACGCATTCTCTGAACGGCCGAACTATAATAAGTCACTTTAGTGTATTCATTTACATAAATAAATGATTTTTTTAAAAACTTCTTCACAATACTTACGATGACAACAATATAAATGTTATATTATAAGCAAACTTTTTGTACATTAATTTAAAGAAATCATTATGCAAATCAAGCCGAATGCATAATCAGTAAAAAGAAACTATTTTTCAAAACCGCTCAAGAAATTCCGCATTTCCGAACGTTTTGCTTTTGACATTTGTCTGTCACTTCGACAAGCACTCGTTCTCGTTCACTCGCTCTCGTTGGAAACTTGGGAAAATCCGGAAAAGCTGTCAATGTCAAAAATCAAATCAAATCATCAATTGAGATGTTGCTTGCTTGGTGCTTGGTACTGCACGTCAATAAAAAAATGAAAGTGTTGATTGCGAAATTTTGAATTAAAAATATTGAATTTGTGGAAAATTATAACATTAATTGTTTTAAGTGAACATTTGTGTTGATTTACAAAATACGTTTTATTAAGATGAGTCAGGAATAGTTAAAAAATCATCGAATATTTCTTGCGACGACCAGGCGCCAGAATGTCTGATGAACCGGAGGCCAGGATGTGGGATGACGGTGAATCCCGATACGAGTCTAGGAATCGGGGAGCATATTTCGAATCCGCGTTTGCATCATCTGAGCACCTGGACAGAGCTCCTTTATTATCAGAGGTAAGTACGTAGTTATCGCGCAACGTGATGTTCTTATTTTCTTATCTTCAACAATTGTCTTATAGCAAATATTAATATTGCTTTTTGTGACAAAACCTATTAATTTTTAACGAAATGTCTGGTAACAGATGCAGGAAGATTATGCATGCAGGTGGCTCAAGACCTTGCTTTGTGGTATTCCTTAGGAAGAGCCTATGTTTAGCAGTGGACTAGTTATGTGCTGTCATAATAACTATGAATCAATTTTTAAAATCAGTGATCACAATGATTTTACAATAATATTGTAATTGATTATATGTTTTAGAAAATACTTGCTGGGATTCTTTCTGCTTTATTCTAGAACATGGGGTATATTCCGAATAAAATAAAATAACTAAATAAGATTTTTTTTATAATGTAACTATTAAAAATATTCAATTCTGTTCTATAAATAATAACATAGTTTTTATACATAAACAAGGTAGTGGTGCCTGAGAATGGAGAATTTACATAAATAGTTACATATTGATAGCTTTACATAATATAATCAAACATAACAATAATATGTAGATAAAAGGTAATAACTAATAGCTAAGGAATGTAGTCAGTTGACTGCATTCCTTAACTATCAGTGACACTATTGTAATTTCAAATAAATAGCTAAAGATTATCTATTCTACAAAATAAAATAGAATTAGTCCCAGTAAGAAAAAAAAATTAATTAGAGTTGTGAATATTTTTCACTACTTTAATTAATATTTCAAAAAGAAAGTCTTTTTGGAAAAAAGCTTACTTTAATACCTTTTTATACTTAAAAACCAATCCTTGACTATGATCTCATGTGGTGGTAAATTGCATTGTGTTAGCATAGTGCAAACCTATCCACTCTTCCTTGAAGACATCATCATGATCACCATAATTTTTTGTAGTAGCAAAATTATAAAGCTTAATTTAGCTAATATTGATAAATTTTTATCTATACATTATTATGAAAGTATTATTCAAAATAAAAGTGTAAAAATAGTATCAGATTTCTATTTCTTCTTTCTCTCTCTCTTCTATTATCAAGAAGATTTATTAAAAATATTTCATGCAAATAATTGTACGAATTGTTTGCCATCATTAAATTCGGGGTGTTATTTTTTCTTGTTATTTTTATTTTTTAATAAATGTTTTTTATAATTTTATTTTATAAAAAATTTAATGCAGTTTTTGCAATGCAACAGTGTTGTAAGGAGATACACTACCAGATAACACCCTGTGGATTTTGAACAGAGGGACACTGAAACAGGAGCATCTTCCTGATAACAACTGAAAATAATTACCGACTGAGAGAGAAGTGGAATTCTACTTCCTTTCCGGAAAACCATATTAATTACCTAATTACCGAAGGAGACTGAGAATAATGACTGACCGACCCACCTACCATGCATGGCAACTGTTGCAAAATAAGGTTTATAAGCCTGAATATATTCAGAATATATTCAGCAGTGGACTTTTAAAAGCTGTAATGAAATGCATGAATGGATGATGTACACTTTTGAAGCAAGCAATTAAGAATTCTAGTGACTATTGGCCATGTGTTGAATTGAAACTGCATAGATAATTAAGTGTGTTTCTTGCTTATATTATTTCATTTTACATACTACAACCCATTAAAAATGGCAATTTAAAAACAATATCATGTTACTTTTCTAAGGAGTCAGTTCATTCATTTATCTTGTTAATCATAAACAATTGTAACAAATTATTTTCTAGTCATACACTTGTACTTTATTAAAAGAATTAGTTATAATTCTCACTCTTGGTAAAAAATACAATGTAATTAACTAATTATGTCCTCTATTGTATATGTAATATGGATGGTCGGCGGTATATCACCCCTGTCATCTAGAGCCCAGTTGGATGCAAAGAGACAGCCAAAAAATCAGCTTCCTCCTTTTGTTAATGGCCATCCTCCTTGTGTAAAGATAGAAGAGATGGTTGAGAGAAGTTCTCTAAAAACTAAGAACTAGTTTTGAGCCAATTTTGTTGATTTCATCTGACTTTACCTTGGTAATAACTCTTTTGTAAGGCGACCTGAAGGCGGAATTATACTCCTTTTTAATATCCCTGGTGCTTGCATCCCGGGATATCGGTGTGGCAGCCCAGGCCTGTTTGTGCGTCTGTTTATGGTGAGATGCAGATTTACAGAAGTGACCAAAACCTAGGTTAGGATCTGCCTTCGATGGGGGGCATCACAGATGATGGAAAAAGTGCCATTCTCGGAATTACCACATCAGAGAGATTTAGCAACGTCGCGGCGTTGGATTCTTCGGGCGCGAAGCAAACCTTGGGTAGGATTGCAAATAACGACCGCATTCCATCCCAATCCGCCGAACTATAGTGCCATACACGGCGGCTGCTAGTACTTCGTGGTAGTAGGGGAGCCCAAAAGGGGCATTTTTATAATTTACTCAACCGCGTCAGATTAGGGTAAGGTGGATTAATTACGAGCTGAAAAAAATGCATTTAGGAAATCTGACGATTTGAGCATAACGTAAGGGAGTGGGAGGGTTACAAAGTTGAAAAAAAAATCTTATGTTGACATTCTCGTGCGTGGTTGAATTTCTTTATTTTGAAGAAAAAAATCGCCAGGAATCACAACCTCTGCGAATTGGATCTGTTGTAGCACGGCATATGATGCCATTTAGAAGTGCTCGATGAGTCGGTCAGTGTTGGCTGTGGTACATATAAAGGCACTTGTAGATGCGTTGTTGTCTACGCGTAGCTAAATGATACATGGATCCGTTCCTTCCTTCAAGACAGTCTAGGGGTCTAGAACATATTATATTGGATGACCTTTTTTACCGCCTAGAAAAAATAGAGTAGAACTGTATATAGAAATAAGTCTAATGGAAGATATAGAGAAGCCTATGGCACTGATATTTTACAAAAAATAAAAGCAAATATTTTGAATTGATTAAATAACTAAATTCAAATCTATCGAAATTCAAATCATATCCATCCTAATTTACGAACGGCAATAAAACAATAAATTTAGTAGGCATCTGTAACCTTGTCACTTCGCAGGGTCACATAATCAAGAATAAAAAGCAAAGAAATTGTTCAAAAAAATTTTCGTTTCATTCAAAAATGTTGTTTTTATTTTTTGTAAAATATTAGTGCCATAGGCTTCTACTCCGTTCACATGTTACACCCTATTTTTTTCCAGGCGGTAAAAAAGGTCATCCAGTATATTATAATCTATAACTAACTTTTTCTTGTGGAACCTCAATTATTTTTATTTTTCTAAAATAAAAGTAGCCTATGTTACTCCTTATAACTTTAGTTATGTTACAGTGAAAGACAAAATAGGTCCAGCAATTTTGGAGATTAGCCGAAACAAACAGAAAATAGTGTTTTCCTTATAAGTACCATATATATTTTTATATTCATTTAGTAAGAAGCTGTTATTTTGACATTACAAACAGACACTTTAATTTTATTTATTTGTGTAGATATCCCTCTTTGACATATTCGACACGTACAGGCATACTGTGTCCCTATGTATAAAGATTATTTGTTTTGTTTATCACCACATTAGTCAACATAGTAGCAAACATTAGTCCCTAAGTTTAATATGCACTACCAACATAATTTAATTCTTATCTACTGATTAGGTACGCTTATAGTATCAAATAATTACTGTTGATAAGACCTTAATGAAAAGTTAATTAAGTTTCTATTAAAAATTTAAATAAATGGGGAGATTTTTATAAGCCTAATGATGGACGCCACTGCGACGGAAAGGACTTTCTTTTCTTCTTCCACCTCATAGCAATAGTTTGGGATTTTGTTCCATTCATCATTCAAGTTGTCATCTCGTCTTTTTGTCATTTAAACCAGTTTTTAAAAAATATTCTATATTTAAAAAAAAGGGGATTCTATAAGGGTCTAAAACTAGCATACAGTCCACCTGAATGTAAGTGGGTGCCGTGGCACATAGACATCTACATTTATCCTCGATAGAATCAAAATGCAGATGCTTTATCGCTCCTGATGACTAAGTTGGAATGCCTCGTTTCCAAAAATGGGTCTTCGGTTCTCTACACTCACGGTACAAAACACAGTAGCATCAAGCTGTTATTTTACGCTGGTATTCTGTGAGAGCGTGGACCTACCACGGTCGAGCCATTTGTGCTACAACCATAATAAAGCTGCCGCATAGCTATATCACGTTTTAAAGTAATAAATAAAATAGGACTTTCTCCTGTATCGTGGATAAGTTTTACATACATAAATTTTACATGGACAAACATCCAGAGGTACCAATTATTTGTAAGCCGTATATTATACACTTGTTTAGTGCGGGATTAGAATCTGCGGCGGTGCCAGTAAGGCTTAGCCAGTAGCCACTTCGCTATTGAGTCGCCGCTACTATGGTCTGCCCGTGTTTCTTTGAACCTTTAATGTCCATAAAATAGCTTCATATTATGGCATGCTAATCGTACTTAGTTATTTTTTACATCCATATTGTCTGATGCCATATTTTTGTTAAAGACTTTCTGTGGATCTACACTAAACATGCATGAGTAGTGGTTGCTCAGGAGTTAGGCGCTTGCTGTACGCGAGCAACCCAGGTTTGATCCCTGCCGGCACTAATTAGTTAAATTGTTAATTGCGTTAATTTGATTACTTGCAATTTTAAACGCTATTTTACCAAGAGTTCGGCGGTGGAAGTATCGTGATGAAATCTGTATTTCTAACAAATAAAAAATATTTCGTGGCCTGTGAATGTCAGTTCCACCGAATGGGTGCATTGGGACATCGCAGCGGACATTTTATTGTTCTATAACCCTCTCAGAAATGAGATGAGCCCTGTACCCGGCAGTGGGAGGTATGTAGGTATTATGCGATATCCTTTGTGATACGTACAACAAAGTACTAGAACTCCTTACCTGTGTTAGTTTTCCAAAAACACTACAACGGTGGTCTTCAACAATCATACCTTAGTAGCAACAACGCTACCTTAGTAGCAA